GCCAAGCAGGGAGCCCGATGCGGGACTTGATCCCGGGACTCCAGGATCATGACCTGAGCCGAAGGCAGTCGCTTAACCAACTGAGCCACCCAGGCTCCCTCTCCAAATCTTTAGTACTGAATTCTCATGATTGATAGACTCTATGTTGCAACTCAGAGCTGTTTTAGCAACAGGATTAATGCCTGTGGTTAGAGATTTGCTCCAGCTCTTATAACGAGAAACACATATTCTCACTAGGAAAATGTTGGGGGTTTAAACTTCAGTAGAGAACTATTTCTGATGGTTGGAGCTCTTTTACCCTGAAATCCCCAAATCAGACAGTCTGGAGCTTGAAGACATACAGAAAGCGTCTAGTTCCCCATCACCACCCCAGTGGCCATCGGAAGCCCAGAGAGGGAAGACATTTTGGTCAAGGTCACAGACCTCTTTCCCACGTGCCACCCCTGGACAGCAGATGATGACATAAGTAAGTCTGTAGAGTGGACAGCATTGACCTCTTTCTGACCACTGCCGCTCTTGTAATTAAACAGAAATGTTAACATAAAGCAAATGGTCTTTCCACCACCATTACCTCGAACAGTGTGCTCTGTCCAGGGAAGGTGGAAAGGCATTGCTCTCAGGCCTGCAGCAAGCCATAAAACCTGCCAGCGCTAATGAACCATCGCTTGAGCCAGTTAAGAGAGGAAGCAAAACTGTCTTTAATTAAGGCATCCTGCATCCCATGGGCTCTCTCTAACTTACACCCAGAGGTATTGGGAAGCCCCTCTGGACCCAATTGCCATGCTTTTGGAAAGCAGTAAACCAACTCTGTTTAAAAGGGACCTGGCTGGGTATTGAACAATCTGGGTTCTGATCTGAGCTGTACTGCTGACCTTGGGTAAATCCCATCTCATATGTAGCCTTTAGTTTCTTTATCAATGAAGTCAGCCGTTTCCTTCACTCATGTTCATCAAATAGTTTTTGAGCATCTACTGTGGGCTGATCCCTGCTGCCAGGCACCATGGACACAAGGACCACGAAGGCTCAGTCCCTGCTCTCTGCTGGCTTGAAGGCCAGTGGAGTCCATGCAATGGATAAATCTTGTTCAATAACCAGGCCTGTGGGTGCTTAGAGGAGGAAGTAACTAATTCTGTTTGGAGGTTTGGGGAATGCTTTCCAGAACAGGAGACATGAGCTGTGGTGTGAAGAAGGGTTAATAAGATAAGGAAGGGATAGCAGGTTCTGGGCAGAGGGCAGCCTTGAGGAAGGTTAGGAATCAGGGACCAACAGGACATGTCTAGGGAACTAGGCTTTGCTTAGAGTGGCTATTAGAGTGGAGGGTGGGAGGTGAGGCAGAATGGTGGACAGATAGGCACCAGGTCAGACAGAGCCTCTCGTGCAAAAGCTGCAAGGCTGAATGTTATTTTGCAAGTTGTGGGACTAATCTGCTCTAAAGATATGTAATGTGCACGGTGAAATTAGATAAATAGTGTTTCACTGGCTGTGTGACTTTGGGCAAGTCTGTTGCCTCAGTTGTCAAATAAGAGTAATCACACTATCTCAGAGGATTCAATGTTCTATTGGCAGATGATCCACTGGGCAGTGAAATTTTAGACTATAAATTATGGTGCTCGGCCAGAAGAAAGAGAGTTCAAGGTCTGAGAGCATGAGTGCGTGTGGGGCGAGCTTCTATGCCCACATCAGAGAGAAATGCTGCTCAGATGACCTGGGATGCCACTCTCCTTCATTAATGTTCTCCAAAAAGAAACACAGAATCAAAATAGTCATTGCTATCACCCCCATAGTATATTCTGCAAAGCACATTTGTCGCCACCATTTCTTTTGATTCTCACCAGTGCCCTGTCAGGTACGTGATCATTGCCTTTATTAGGAAACTGATGCTCAGTTTCTCGAAACCATTTAAAAGGGACCTGGCCGGGTATTGAACAATCTGGGTTCTGATCTGAGCTGTACCCTTTCCAGTAGCTGGAAAGTGAACTCCCCAAGGTTACATGGAAGTGGGTGCCCAAACTGATTCTAGCTCTCCTGCTTCCTGGCCCAGCAAGCTGACCAGAAAATCCCAGCAAGTTACCTCAGGTGGCTATGCATGAAACATCCAAGGATCATTAGCCACATTCTCAAAAACCAGTGTGAAACTTCCTCTAATGAACTCATGGGTAATCTGAAAATTCTTTCTCAAAAATATATCCCCTTTTTCTCCTTGCTTCCATCCCACCATCCCGTGACTACCAGCTTCCAAGCATTCTCCTCTGCTCCTCACCTGTAATTGCCCAGGTAGACTCCATCAGGGTTGAGCATTGGTGCAATCTTGAAGACCAGGTGTTCCCGTAGGACACGGGCAATAGGGTGCTGGCTTATGAGGAAGTCAATGATCCCTAGGGAAGGAGAAGAATCTGGGTTAACCTCAAAGTGTTTCAAGAAGGTGGGAGCACATTTTCCTCAGCTTGGAAGCAGTAAGAGCTCCAAAGGTGATTTTTGGCCTATGTTGTCAACCACTCTGGGTATATGACTATGGATTAGGTGTTGCCTGGTGAATTTTACAACTATATCTTTGTTTCCAAGAGACGGTTCAAGACATAATTTTGAAGCCCATGGGCAGATGGAAGAGCGTGTGTCCTGCTGCAAAGCACCGTGCAGGCGTCTAAGAAAAGAGCATTTGAGCTGTGCCTTGGAGGGCCTGGATTTTGACAGACAGAGATGGGGGAGAGGCAGGATAGCTCCGAACAATGAATTAAGAGATATTCTCTAATGTCTAAGTGTTGACATTGGATTGGATGATTATGGGGTCAAGGTCTCAGGGATCTAAACCCTCCTGTTGCTGGTGGTCACACCAGAAGAGAGAGAGGAGGAGGAATTTGGTTAAAGTCACATGAGGAGAGGGAGGTTTCTTTGATGTCCCAACTCTGCCCCTTTCCCCACTTTGAGGACCCTCTGTTCACAGATTCTGGGTCTGGCTGTCCTTGCTGCTTCTCTCTGGCACCAACAATTGCCTCCAGGTCACCAAATTTAGAAAAGCGGAATTCTCCATGATTCTCCTCCCACAATCAGGCAGTCCCCAGATCTCTTCCTTGAATCTAGCAGATCTGCCCTGTATCTCCATCCCTTTGCTGCACATCTATTCTAGGCCACCACCACATCTGGACTGAATGACTGTGACCACTTTTGGAACATGTCCTCATCGGTGCAGCCAAAGTCATCTTCCTAAAGTGCAAATCTGAGCCTGCCCTCATTGGCTTCCTTCTGGTGATAGCCTGCATACCTTGACAGGAGAGGGGGTGAGGAAACAAACAACCCAAGTTCTCACCCTTCCCTTTCCTTCTCCACATTTCTACTCCGTCTTCAGAGACCTGGAAAACAATAGGCAAAATGGAGCTCTGGCATTCCATGAAATAACTGTAATGCTGGAAAGCGGTAGGAGGATGCACAACCCTCCCAGAGTGTAGAAGGGAACTCCTTTCCTGCTGGGGAGAGAAGGAAAGGCATCAAGGAGAAAGCAGCTTTGGAGCTGGGCCCTGGAACATAAGCATGTTTTGACAGACAGACAGGAGGAAGCAGCAGGTTAACTAAGAACAATCCATGGGCCAGTGGCAGGCACTTAGCTCCTGGAATGATAAATGGCTCCACAGCACATCCCAAAGCTGTTGTGACCAGTGAGGGACATCTCAGGCTTTTCATTAGGCCAGGGCTCAGAATCCATCGGCAGCCGAAAGCCAGTTGGACATCATTTACTTCTCGACCAACGCGGCAGTAGACCAGATGCCCTAATTTATTTGTTGGTCTTCATATTAAAGCTGCAGTTTGCCAGTAAACAGGCAGGGTAATGATGCCAGGTGCCCTTGTTAGGGGCTAATAATTGCTTAATCTGTTCACTAATTGACCCCTGCACCCGGAGCAGCCCTCATCAAGGAACCAGCCTGTGCTCAGGGCCTGGCCACGCTGCCTCAGAGAATGGCAGAGAATGGCTTCTGGAAATGGAGTAGCTCATTGTGATCCATCCTCCTTCACAGATGAGCAGATTAATTGGGCTGCCAATTAGGCAGCTAATAAAAGGATGAGAGAAGACAAAGCCAGGCCCAAAGCTGCAGCCATCCAGAGCTCCCTCTCCCATAGCGAGTGTGGGGCAAGGAGAGGAGAGGTTTTAGACTCCTCAGCTGGAGGTCAGATACAGTTCAACAGGAATCATTCCCCTCGATCAGGAAATTGGGAGGAGAGCCTTTGCTTTTGTGAGTTGTGTGTGGGGGGGTGGCAAGTGGAGAGGAACATGAGGAGAAACGTTGGAGAAAGCAAGAGTGGAGAGGAAATGCCGCCCCTGGTCAAAGGCCAAAAGCATCGCATGGACTGAGGAAGCAGAAGGACTTGGGCACCTACATTCGGACCCTAACCAGTTATTAGCTGGAGAAGCTACTAGCTTTCTCTGCCCAGTTTCCTCATCTTGATACAGGAGTAATCATACCCAATCTGGAAGATTCTGCCATGTGACTGGGTTAGAACACCTGTACTAACTGGAATTTGGTTAAAGTCACATACAGCACCTGGAAAAGGTCATGTGCTTCAATCAACTCACTGAGATCGAAGATGGAGAGGCAGCGAGGGTAGAAAAAGCAGAATGGAGTTTGGAACTGGGGGTCCCGGTCTGAGGTTTGCTAGCAACGAGACTTGGGAACAAGGATGCTGAATTGAAGAAGCCAACAAACCAGCCGTCTGAGAACTTGGGTTTTAGTTGTGGCTCAGTTACTGTGTGAGCTTTAGAAAGACTCCAGCCTACACTCATCTTTCAAGTTAGAAAGAAGTCAGGAATTCCCAAGGACACATTCCACACTGGCAGTCTGGGATTCCATCCTTTTATTCCTCTCCCCCAGAGTAGAAGGATCCTCATCTATCAAGTGAGGAGAATAATCTCCCTCCTGTAGGGAGACACAATCAACCTCCTTAGATCAGTCTCTGTTCCTTTGGTAAACAAGTTTGCTGGGTCCTTTCTTTTGAATTGATTTAATCAGGAAGGTGGAAGAAAGCAGGATGACGGTAAGACTGGAGGCTTGAGAGGCTGGGGGAGAGGAAGGAAAAGTGGTAGATGATCAGAAATTATAGCCAGGCCACAGAGATCGTTGCCCTGGGCTGACCTCGGCCTGGTCATCATGAACCTCACCAGGCAACCCCAAATAGCTATTCATAGTTATTTCTTCTAGTGTACTTGGTTCAGGTCAGGGTACATGGCAGGTGCTTAATAAATGCCCATTGGTAGACTGGCTCCAGGCATTCATTTGACCTTGACAGAGTATAGGGTTAGCTGAACTGAAAATCACTCATTCTATAAAATTCACAGGGCCAGGTCCGCACCATAAGCCTGGTACTGCAAGATACAGAAGGGGATTCTGCCCTAGAATATGCACAGGCAGAAAGCAACTCCCATTGTAGTGATGCGCAAAGGCTCAGGTGGGAACAGCCCGGGGAGCCCTGAGAACCCAGAGGGCCTGGGAAGGGGCTGTGAAGAATGAGTTGTAGAGGATGAGTAGAGTGAGCCAGATGAAGGGGTGCCAGGAGAAGGCGTTCTGGGGAATCCTACACAAAGGCTGGAAGGTGAGAGAGAAGGAGGCCCATCTGCCAATGAAGAGCTCTTCAATTCAGGGCATAGCTTCGTGATTAAAGGCACAGACTCTGAAACTGTACTATCTGGGTTTGAATAGCTGTGTGGCCTAACCTCTCAGGTGCTCAGTTCCGCATCAGTTAAGAAGGAAAGAAGAAAATTGCTGTGGAGGTTGTTGTGAGGATCTCCGTGAGTTAGTAGAAGCAAAGTGTCTGGCACATAGGAAATGGACATGTGTGTTGTCTGAATCTTTGCTCCCATCTGGTTTGGCTGAAGGTGTGGGGACAACAGGATGTTGAGAGAGAAAGGGAAGAGGTAAACGGGGACTTGCTAGTCCAGCTGAAGGATATGAAGGGCACAGGAGACCACTGCAAAGTACAGGGGCAGACCTGGGCTTCCCCACTGCAGCACGGAATGTGGTTTGGGAGGAAGGAAAAGCAGAGGGCTCGGAGTCCTGAAGGTGGATAGGGTGGAAGTCGGGGCAGACCTAGCAGAGAGCCAGTGAACATAAAAAGTCTTGCAGTCAGGAACCAGGGTCTGACATGGTGCTGACCTGCAGTGACCAAGGCCCAGAAAGTCTCGAGGATGCGGCAGGTGCAGGGGAAGCAGTGTGGATAGATGGTGACACTGATGACATTATTTGTCTACCATCCCCAAGAGCATCACCATTCTTCGCTGAAATTACACAGTCCTGGGGAAAGCTGATCCCCAAATGATGGAGATTAAGTTTCGGGTCCCTGGCAGAATGGGACCTCAAAATGGGAAGTAAGTTCAGTTACAGAGAAGTCGGGAAAGTTACATTTCCTGTGCCCCGGGGGTTTGGGGATTGGAGCTTGCATCTGCTGTTCAAGTCTTTCTTTCCCTCCAGACCGTGAGCTCCAGGAAGGCAAGGACAGGTCTACCTCTTGGCCACTATCTTGCCAGCGTGTAGCTCAGCGCCGGGCTCAGGGAACGTCCTCAGTAGATATGTGTGACATGAATGGATAAAGACTGACCCGTGATGTGCACTGTATGTTCTTTAGCTGGGCTGACGTGTAGTTCTCTTGGCTCCATGTACAGGTAGAAAAACAAAGGGTGCTGACATCATTTGCTGAACGTCTCACAGGGGCCCAGATGGGATTCTGATCCGGTTCTACTGGCTTCAAAGTGGTGCTCTTTCCATTAAGGCAATATGGAAGAGTCAGGAGTCTATTTGCATGTGATCTGTAGAATGATTTGCATATATGCCTGCAGGATTTTCTCTCTAGAGAGTTCTGTGTAAGGTTTATTGTTGTTGCCTCTAAGAGGCAATATGTTGCAGTGGGAGGAGCTCAGGCTTCAAGTGAGACAGTTGGGGGTCTCTGCGGGACCCAGAGTGTGGGTCACATGAGAGCAGCCACTCCAGGCCTTCCCCTGACCAGGCCCCTGTCTGCCCTGAGCTGAGTCCAAGGGCCTCCAATTATGGAGTCACAGGGAGTCCGGCCCTGAAGAACCTGAGGCTCACAGTCTTGGTTCTTACCCTGCCACCCCCAATCCTGCCCATTTCACAGATGAAAGAAGCTCAGAGAAGTGAAAAGCCCATGACCCCTCACCCCCACCCCAGTGGGTCTGGTTTTGCACTTATAATGTGAGGCTGTAAGGGACAGAGAGAGAGAGAGAGAGAGGAGAAGAGGGAGACTAGGGGAGGGATAGAGGGGGGAGGAAGACAGTGGGGGAGGGGAGGGAGAAAGGATCAAAGGTCACCACTTCACCGTAGGAAACATTAGGTTGTGCTTGGTTGTGCTTGGTCCTGGTGGCTGTGAGTGCATGGTGTGTGTATGTGTGTGTGTAGGCGTATGTGTCTCTCCCCTCTCCTTGTCTTATCGCCCCAGGGTAACCCCGAGGAGTGAGCTCCATAGTCTGAGCCCTGGAGGGTTCCGTGGCCCGTGGCAGCAAGGCTCACTTAATCCTCATAGCATCCCCTTGAGGACCATATTGCTGCCCCCATTTTGCAGGTAAAGAAACAGAGGCTCCAAGAGGTGGGAACTTGCCGAAGGTTGAGGCCAGCAGGTGGAGGTGGTAGGACTCACACTCAGGCCTGCCCAAGTCCAAGGCCTTGGCTCTGCCCACTTTCCCATGCTGCCCTCCAAAGGGTGACGTGCCTCGCCCACACCAGCGTGCATAAATACGGGTTTGATTGATTCAATTATGAAGGCTCCTCAGAGGACAAGTGTTCTGCCAATGGCACTTTTCGGTGAAAGTTGCCCCAACAACCCCAGGAAGCTTCAGGGAAAGAACATTCACTCGACCAGAAATCAGACACTTGAGGTCTAGTCCTGGGCAAACCGCTGACTTACAATCCGGTCTTCCTGGTGCAGAAATGAGGAGGGCTCCGCTAACAGCTCCCTCAGGAAAATAATAAGGAAGGAGGTGGGTGGGGGCACACAGCACAGAAGCTACACACCTGGGTTTGGGTGCCCCGCGGGGGTCAGAGGAACCACACCAGGCGCCTGCAAGGTGCTCCATGGTGACCCTTCTTTAGTGCTTATTGCCGTATTCCAGACACCGTCCTAAATGTTTTATGGCTATGAACTCATTAATCTTTACAACGACCCTATGATGCAGGGTTCCTATTGTTATTTCCCTTCCAAGATAAAGGAACTGAGGCACAGAGAGGCTATGGAACGTCCCCAGGGTCATACTGTTCTACATGGAACAGCTGGGATCCAATGCCAGGCAGGCTAGCCCCAGAGACCATGCTGACACACACTCTGCTACAGGGTGGTTCCCGAGTTCCTTGGACCTTTCATGTCACGGCTGGAGAATGAGGATAGTTTGGCCTCACAGAGATGAGTGGTGTTGGGGGCAGCTGAGGGGTAACTTGAATCAGCCATCCAACCGCCAAGTGGAGCCCTGAGGAGATCGAAGCCTTGCCACCTTTACTGCCACCCCTCCAGAGTTCTGTGACAACACGGTTTTGCTCTGCTCCCAGCAGCAGGTGCACCAGCAGCTCGGCTGTGAGGACTGTGCTCCCAGCCAGATGGGGAGGACCAGGCCCCACATGTCTGCTCCCCGCTCAAGGTCACTGAGCCGGTGAATGTGGAAGAAGCATTAACTGAGCTGAAGGTATCTCAGCCCAGGCCTTGGACTCTGCTGCTGTCCCCAGCACAACATGGGCCGGGGAAGGGATCCAGCCGAGCCCTGTGGGGCCGTGGTCTGGCCTGTCTCCCGGGGGCCAAGAGACCCTTGGGAAAGACCATGCCTCAGTCTCTCATTGGCAAAGTGGGGGAATGATGGTGTCTTAAGCTACCTCAAGAAAGGACAAATTGTGTCTCCAGGGACAGTTACAGAGATAGGGAAGGAGGAAGACCAGGACTGAAGAGATGGGGCCCAGGCCACATCCGCCATGAACTCCCTGTGTGATCCTGAGTAAGCTACTTCACTTCCCTGAGCCTCCCCATTCTCGCCTGGGAATGCACAGCAACTGTTGTGGGGTGCCCAGAGTGCACCAAGCTTGGCCCTCTAGCACTTCCCATCCCTGAGTGAGGCAAAAGAGCATGTACAGGCTTGGGAGACCCAGACTCAAAGTCCCCTTCTGCTGTTTACTGGCTGTGTGACCTTAAGTCTCCTATTTTTGAGCTCAGATTTAGAATCTCAGAACCAAAGCGGCCATTCATCCCTCATAATAGCCCAAGGGGATGAACAAGATAATCCCCATTTTCCAGATGTAGAAAATGACAAAGATCCAGCCCTAGGCCTCAAATAGCTCATGGTTTAAAGGGAAGAAACAAATATAAATCAAGTGTGTAACAAATCAGCGTGATAAAGATGACCAGCGGGTAACCACAATGCAGGAACAAAGCAGAGGCTGAAGAGCATGGGACGGGGGCCCAGAAGGGGTGCTTGAAATGAACAGTGGGAGATAGGAGGTGTTTGCCAAGTGGCAAGGCGTGGGCAGAGGAGCAGCAGATGCAAAGGCCCAGTGGTGGGAAGAAGGTGGTCCATTCAGGGTTAAGTTGTATGGGGCGGAGATATAATGAGGCTTGGGCCAGGGAACCTGGCAAGAGCCAGATGGTGGAGGGTTGTGAATGTCATGGCAAGGAGTTGGAGTTTATATTGAGAAGGTAGAGGGAAGGCATTAAAAGGCCCTGCCTAGGAGTAAACATTGATGGAAAGCCTGCGGGACAGCACGGAGTCTACCAACTCGGCACAATCCAGATTCCTTTTTGGCAAAGCAGGCTCAACAGAGAAACACCCGAGCTGAACTCAACTTTTCTAGGTCTCAGGCCTTGTCTGTAATGTGGGATGGTGACCCTGCCCTCTGTCTGCTGCCCACGGAGGAGGTGGGCCCGGGAGTTTGGGCTCCCAGAGCTGCAAGTTTTGACAGTAAGGCTACTGTCTTTTTACAAACAAGGACAAAAGAGTTGCATCCGATCAGCTGGGGGAACAGGTCTGCTGCCAAGTTTAGTAACTGACAGATGGCTGCAAGTAGAGGGGTTGGTAAAACCAGGAGGGACCTGGGAGAGGTTACTGCAAGGACAGTGCTGGGAGGAAAGAGGATGGAAGTGAGAAGGCCAAGGAGTGAGCTGGGGTGACTGCAGCCGGGAGTTGAGACACCCAGCCTCTTCAGAGTGCTCAGCTTTGGGCAGTCCTTACTGTCCCTGAAACCCAGGCTCCTGGCCTGAAAGAAGGGGGAAGGCAGTCCTGTGTAATCACAGCGCTGTATGAATACGAATGGGAAAAGAAGACTCACATCTATTTGCAATAGTGCCTTAGCGTTTACAAAGCAGGTTACCTGCAGCATCTTTTCAGAGCGCCGTGGGGGAAGGGGGCAAGGTCTGTTGTGGGTGTCGGCGGAGTGCCCGGCACAGGACTGGGTGGGTGTTTGCATGCATCCTGCACCAGCTTCACGGCAGCCTTTGGAAATAGGTATTGATATCCCAATTTATTTTACATTGAAGGAAACTGAAATCACACTGCTAGGAGGTGGCAGAGCCAACTTTTGACCCCAAGACAGCCTGATGGCAAAACTCCAGATACTTCCACAGCAGTCCGCTGTCTCCCTCAAGTTATATCATTTCTATGGGGTATTTTTAATATTCCTTTGACCTGAAGGACATTTTGAGACTAAAAGGAGATAAATTACTTAACTTCACCAAACTTACATAACCATATGTAAGAATAGAGTTAATATTAATTCCTATGACATAGAAAAATTAATATAATTAAAATAAATTACATTAATGAAAATAAATAATAAAAATAAAATAAAATGTGTAAAGTGCTTAGAACCATGCTTGGCGAATAGATAGTATCACATTTTAGATATGATATACCCACAAGATAGGTAAAAATGCAAGCGTATTGGTGAGAATGTGGGACAGTAGAACGCTCCTGCATTGCTGGTGGTGGTATAAAGGTCTCAGAGGGGAACTTGGAGATATCTAGTAAAGTTGAGGATGCATATATCCCGTGACCTGTCAACAGCCTTCCGTGGCTATATACCTGGAAAAGCATTTGCACGTAGGCACAAGGCAACATACATAAGGACATCTGTATCAGCACTGTTTGTAAGAAAAAACACTGGCAACAACTGAATCGTCCAGGAGAACAGACAGGTGAGCCGAGGCACCCAACGGACATGGGATACAGCATCTGGTGAAAAGAAGTGAACTCCAGCCACACTCACTACCACGGATATTGGGGGAAAACAAGGGCCAAGGTACACAGAGTGATACGGTTTTTCAACTTTATAAAAAGTTCAAAAACATGTGAAACGAAAGCCTACATTGTTTAGGAATGTTTATGTGAATAGTAAAACTATTGGGAAAGGTGACAAAATACAAACTTATAGCTATCTGTGGGAGAAGGAGGGTAGAAGGGAGGACAAAGGATTTAAAAGGAATAGATAATATCCTGCTTCTGAAGCTGGTGAGTACCCGGGCATTCATTAAATTATGATTTATATATTATTCATTGAATATGCTTATATGGCTCTCTAATTGAATATATATATGTATGCATGTATATATATTGTTGACTAAATATATATTTTATGTGGACTAAATATTTAATAATAAATGAAAATGCAATTATAAAGATGTATATTTGAGATGAAAAATTATGTCTTATTTACCTCTGGTTGTCTGATGCAAAGCATGTTTCCTTGCTCATAGGAGGTATTTGTAAAGTTGTTTATTAAGTGAATGACTGAATAAATGAGTGAATAGATACCTTCTAATCCTTATCTCCCCACTTTACTGCACTCCTACCAACATACATATTGGGCTGGGGCCGGATTTCTTTTGTAAACTCCTGGAGACAAAAAAAACCAGGCTAGGGAGTGTAGATGATGCCATATGGCTTATCCTCAACATGACACATATGAGAGAACTCCATTCAGCCCTACCCATCCATCCATCCATCCATCCATCCATCCATCCATCCATCCATCCATCTATTCATTCTTCCACTAATACATGTAGTTAGTAAACATTTATTGAAAGAAATACTAATGGAGATCGGTGTAACCTCTTTAGAAATGAAGTAAATTCGCATCCGAGATAATGACTCTGCCCGCGACCACACTGTCCCAGAGGCCATGACGGTGCCCCAGTTGCATGTGGGGGGAAGGTACAGGATGCCCATAAGATTTTGCAACTCACCTTGGCACACAAATGAAGAGGGTGTTTCCCCTGGGTGGACTCGTCCTGTGATGAATACTACCTTCTGCTCTGCTCCTTCCCGAAGGTTGTCTGTAAAAGAAAATGGAAGGAGGTTGTTCAGGAGGGCAGGGAAAGCTGAGACTGGGAGTTGGTATGTGGGATAGAGAGACAGGGAAGGGACTGGGTGCTTTACATTCATTTCTTAAATCAATGGGTTAGAATCATTAAGGCCCAGCCATTGGTGACTAATGAAATTATGTCCCTGACTATCCAATATTAAAAGACTACATTCCTATTGATACAATTGATCATGTTAATATTACAATCATCTGAAGACATCCTGTGAGTGAAGCCAAATCCCAGACTCACTGATTGTGACCCTAGGCAAGTTGTGTATGCTTTCTGAGTTTTGATTTGCTAATCTATACACGTGGAGAGTATTAGTGATGAAACAAGCTTACACATTGCCTAGTACACAGTAAACACAGTAAATAATGGAGTAAAGAAAGTAGCTGTTTCTATTAGTCATAGTAGCACTGCCATTTAATTAGGGCCTTTTGTGTCAGGCACATTCTATACATTACTTAGAGTTCTACAGAAATGTGCGCAGTTAATATTCCTTTTATAGAGGCAGAAACTGATGCTCAGAGGGGTTACATAACTTGTCACACAGCTAACAGGTGTGGGTCGAGCTGAGATTAGAACTCAAGGCCTTGTTTGACCTTGATGAAGTAACAGGGACCAGATTTCTCTTTCAACTTAAGCCAACTAAAAAATCGGACAAACAGACAAAACAACTGTTTTCAGACAAGAGGCAGTGCAAGACTAATACATGGAAAAAGTATGCCCTCTGATTGCCCTGGCTCTTTGCCTGGAGGCCCATTCCAAAGAGCGGAGAGGGGTATCCTGAGCAGACCATGGAAATCTCACTGAGATTAAACTTCAGAGAGTCTGAAGCAGGTGGTAGCTGGGGGGAAACTGCACATTCTAGAGAAGACAGAAGTCTGTGGAAAAAGAATCCCAGAAATCTGTCAAGGAGTCCTCAAGTGTGTTTGTGGGTCCCAAGATGTGCATGCAGAGGGTGAATCTCACAATGTGGTGTGAAAATGACCAGGGGGCTGTGAACCACATGGCTGTCAGGGCTCACACAGGGCTAAGAGTCATTTGAATTCCCACCACCAAAGCATTAGTCCTCACTGATCACTCAGGGCATTCAGGAGAGAACCTAGAAGGGCCATGTCTTGGTGGTGGGGCTAAACTACTCTAGACTCATTCTAACAAAATTTTAAAATCACAAAGTTTCAAACTGGACAGAAGAAACTTAACTGCCTGCCATTTAAAGTGCAACTCTCTTTAAGGAAAGATAACAAAATCCAGACACTCAACAATGTACAATTCACAATCTCCAGCATACAGTAAGAATCATTAGACATGCAAAGAAGTAGGAAAATATGATCCAAAATCATAGCCCGAGCTCTTGCTACTTCTACAGAAATCTCATTCGTATAATAAAGTTTAGCTATTGTGCAAAGAGATTATTAGACAAAAGCAGTGGCTAAGAGTGACATTCCCAGAAGGAAGGGGCAGGAGGGTACCTAGTCCCTGACAGAGGAAGGCCAGATCGACCCAGAACAGAACCATGACTGGAAGGAATTTCATAAATCAACATTGAGAGAAGTTGGGTTAAAGAATAATATCATCTATGTTGGAGGATGATCTGGAGGGAGAGGGGAGGTAGAAATAATTAACAGGCTTTTTACTTCTGAAATGATAGGGACAGGTTATTTTGAATGTAGTTTATGATCTCAGTCGCACCAATGTCAGAGACTAAAATAAAATATATATATATGTATTAACTTTATTAAGCCTGATTCTAATGGCTTGGGACTTGCTTGGTCTATTGGGGTGACCATTACTGAGGTTACTGCTTCCCTAATACTAGGCATCTGAGAGGCAGCAAGAAATACAGTGGAGCCAGAATTCATTCCTTCCCCCCCCCCCCATAATACATTCTTGAGAACTCACCCTGTGCTCAGCTCTGTGCTAGGCATCTTTAGGAACAAAGGGAGAGAGAAGTTTATGGTTTAAAAGAGGAGTTAGACACCTGAATATTTCCTAGACTGAATAAAACCTCCTCCAGGAAGAAGCTATGATTTTCATGGTTATTTTTAACACCATTCCCAGGACCCTGTGTGGGATAGCACTCAGGAATTGGCTATCGAATTAAAAATACTCATATAGATCATGGCTTATCTTAATCTTCATCATACCTCTGTGGACAGTATTAACCCCATTTTATAGGTGAAGGGACTGAGGTTCACAAAAGGAAGGGACATACATGTCCAAGGTCACTGTCTCCCTGCCTAGGACCCTCTCACTAGCATTTCAACTGCTGGATCAACTAGCAACAATATCAGATCCTGAGTCCGCTGCATTTCTACCTACAACGTATATGAGAGAGATTGGTTCCATCCCTTTTTGCTGGTAGAAGTTGAGCTACTGCCTTTGTATTTATATTGTTTTTTCACTTACAAAACAAAAAATGAAATGCCACCAAGCCCTTTAAAAAAAAAACTAACACTGACCCCATCTATCCCAGCAGTCCAGAAATGATAAATAGCATTACCAAGGCCCTCGGTGAATGCTAACTTTATGGATGTCTCCCCTGACCTGGTATCAACTCAATTGCATTCAGCATTTCTGCTGACCACAGAGAAATGCAAAATGGGCATTCTATTTGCACACTAATTTTACTGAGCCCCTGTGTCTTCATAAAATGATAACATGGGGCTAATAAAAATCAAGCATCTCGAGTGTTAATATAAGCAAATGTTGATGCAGGCAGGTAACAAATTGCTTTGTCATTTTGGAGGCCGTAAAAGAGCATTATAATCATCTTTAGGCAAAATGGATGGGTCGCCTTTGCTTAGCTTTTAGCTTTCATTTGCAAAATCAATTTAAGGTAATGTAGCAGCTCTGAGGTGGTGTGACATGGGACACCCCTCCACCCCCCCCCGCCCCGTCACCGAATCTCCAGACTCGTGCAAAGCCAATTAAACATATTCTTGGAGGAGGCAGCAGGGATGACGGAGGAAGTATGCTTGAACAAAGCCAGGGTGGAAAGCAGCTGAACAATGAGACCAAGAACAACCCTGTAAGGGGTGATGAAACTGAAAGTTCATTGAGGGTGACACGCTCAAGGATACAAGGGCACACTCGTGGGGAACCTGATAGCCACACCAGACCCTTACTTGACAGAAGGTGTTTGAAGCCAAATGTGCTTTGTGTAGCATCCCAACACACACACACACACACACACACACACACACACACACACGTTTGCCATTATATCCCTCTATCATCCGCTATTTCCTTATTTATAAAATATTAATTGAACACCTATTGGGTAGCCTGGAGCTATCCACTATTACCTTCATTTTACAGAAAACCAAGGCCAAGAGACATTAAGTGACTCGTCTTAGTTCTCACAGCCCAGGACTGGCAGAGCGAGGCCCCACCCAGGCAGTCTGACTCCACCTGTGTCCCTAAATCCCACACTACTCTGCTTCTTGTGAAGGACAATAATAGTAACCAGTTACGATAGCAACCAAGTAATATTTATTCAGCACTTACTCTGTGCCAGGCACTTACATGTATGACCTTATTTCATTTTCATAGCGACCCAATGAAACATCTACTATTCCTAGCCCTATCTCATAGATTAGGAAATTGAGATCTAGAAAGGTGAATAACTCATCTACACCTGCATAAGTGGTGCATGTGGGGGCCAGGATGAAACCCCAGGTCTTTATGAATCTCAAATATATGCTCTTCACACCTCTTGGAGATTAAATAGGGTCCATGGGTGGTTTTTAAAATACACCCAGAAATTCTTCGTGAATCTCTTCCCTTCGAGAGGTGGAGATGAACCCCCTTTCCCTTCAGTGTGGGCTGGACAGACAGGCTTGCTCTAGCAAATAGCATACGGGGGGTGGGTGAAGGCATGTCACTCTTTTGAGATTGGGCTACAAAAAGACTGTGGCTTTCATCTTGGGTGATGACTTGCTCTCCTTCATTGCTCACACTGAGGAATCCGGCTGCCATGATGTAACACTCAGGTAGCCTGTGGAGCCCTCACCTGTCTGGGGAGGAGCTGAAGTACCCAGGAACAGAGGCCAGCCAAAACCATTCGAGCAAGCTTGGAAGGGTATCCTCCAGTCCCAGGTGACCACAGCCCTGGCCACCAGCTTCCTCCAACCTCCTGAGCCAGAGCTGTCCTGCATAGCTGCTCCTGCCCTCCTGGCCAACAGAAACTGGGAGATGATAAGTTGTTGTTCTAAGACGCTGAATTCTAGAGGAAGTTGTCAGGCAGCAATTGACTAAATAATTCTCCTGGAGATGGCCAAAGAAACCTTGCATCTTATCTATTGATGCCCAGCCTGAGTAAGACCAGAGCCGTAACCCTGGTGTCAACATGGAAGGAGAGCCTTAATGAATCAGATCAGTCATCAGTGGATCTGTGGCTGGTGGAGGCACTAGAAGATGCCAAGAGGCCCCACAGAGCACTAGCTGGGCCCTCTGAGGACAAAAGTCTCCCAGAAGTTCACATGGTCAGTTTGGTATCCCTTATCTTCCCTGACAGTAATTCTGACAGTAACTTGTCCTAGGGAGTGAGCTGTTCTGTGGAGGAGGAAGGGGTGGTGAGCTGGGAGGGGAATGTGGAATGTTACAACAGGAAAAGGATTTTTTTTCCTCCCCAGATCTAAGTCTTGGTCATTTTATTGACTTCATGATCCCTGAAGGCCATCATTAAGGCAAGAAAAGACCTTCCTACTGGTTTCCAAACCAGACCAGTTGCCTTGTTTTCTCGAATACTCCAGGGCCCAAACGGGTCCACACTACCACGAAGCTGGAGAAAAAGACATCCCGGCAACAGTACCAGCACGGTGAGCTGGCATCTGCCTGTGGGTCCACTCAGGACAAGAAGGGTCCTGTCCTTGATCTCCCCGTGCCGGCACCATCCTTGACCATCCGTCCTCCACCCTGCCAAAGCCATCTTCCTAAAGCTCAAATGGGAGCCACCACTCCCCCTGCCTGCAACCCTTCAGCAACTCTCTGCTGTCCTCGGGCAAGTCCAGCCTCCTCGGTGCGGCTCCCCTCGTCTCTAGGAGCTGCTGGTCGCTGCCCGCTCCAGCCCCTTCCCCAGCCCCAGGCTCAGCCACTCCTGGCAGCGTCATCAGCATGAAGGCTCTTCCACACCTCCACGCTTGGATACATGCTTTTCTCCCTGCCTGGAATGCCAGCCCCCATCGCAGCTGTCTGCCTTACTCCTACTCCACCTTTCAGACTCTGCTCAGATGTGCCTCCTCTGAGGAGGAAGACACAGAGCGATCATGGATCTTGGACTTGTTCTAGGCCACCCGTGGCGTTAATGTGCCAGATCTGATCTCCTCAGCACAATAGTT